ATAGAAGAATACACTACTCTATTTCATTCTTCATGAACATCCGAAAAAACACTACTAGAGCATTAGAGATTAATGGATTTATACATCTACCAAGGCAACATCTAGTGTAAAAAATGGCTCTACTAGATTCCAAAATCACAACCAAACAGAACCCAAGCTGGACAAAGCAACCACCAAATAGTGCTGATGCATCACATTCACATGTAGTGCCGATATAAATCAACGTCAGAGCATACATACAACTCAAGGCAGCATTTCGACACAATCTGACAGGACATCAGTACATCACAGAAAGCACATCGCCATCATGTTTTTGCTCTTAGTGCTTAGTAGTCTCATATATTCAAACACATTCTAACATAAATGAATAAAACACTCTGAAATTGTGTGTTAACCACTAGGAATTTTCCCCTTGTGTCTTCCCATCGAACTCTGTATATCTACTTGTAGTGACTCTATTTGCAAAATAAGGAGGAGATCGAGTCTGATACATACCAAAATTTCAGCGATGCCGTTTACAAGACGGTGAGCCCCTTCCGGACGTGCTTCCTTACGGAAACGGCTTCTAGAGCGGCTGATGTTGGAGATGCCCCGGATGTGTTGGTCTACAGCGAGCGGCCTTGCCACCATCGTCGTGGGATGTCTTTGGCGTAGCTCCGCCAGAGTCCGATGCCTCCTCCTCGATCCCATCCGCAGTCCGGGCGTGAGCTCACCACCGCTCCACGAAACCCCACCCCTTCAGCACCTAGAAAGCACGCGCGGCGAGGCACGTGGAGAGAGCAAATCAGGAAGCCGTGATGCATGGGCGGAGGAAGGAAGAAGAAGCGGAGATGGGGATAGCTCGAGCGACTCACCTCGCGCAGCCGGTAGGACGGAAGGGGTTGGCTGCTGCTGCGTGCGGCCTGGCGCTGGCCGGCCGAGCTGGCAATCGCCGAGGGGAGGACTATGGGGCCAAGCCAACGTGCGTGAGGTCCACGCCGCCGTGCGGCCGAGGGGCGCCTGTGCCGTGCCTCTCCGAGCTTGTCGGGCAGCCACAGTCGGGGGGGGGGGGGCTCGCCCCGTACCTGCCTATGCCGCCAGAGGAGGGGGCTGCGTGAGGGAGTGAGGACCCTAGGGTTTCGACTGAAGAAGAGATCCAGCGCAGGTTTATTCAGCATTTGGCATATCTCAGCCGTTCGAAGTCGATCCAACGGTGAAAAGCGAGTGTGCTCCGACATGGGCTGAGCCGAATCTCTGATGGGCCCAATTCAAAATTGCTTCACCCTTGACTGTATAATAATAATGGTTTTATTAACTTTTTGTATTGTCGAGTAAATAGATAAGGCATCATGTGAATTCAAATTTTATAATTATTTTTTATAGATATATTTACATATACAATAACTAAAACAACTACAATAGTTTAAAATTGCAAAATTAAACCTTTAAAAATGGGAAAAAATTTAAAATTTTAAAAATTAAAATCAAAACTACTAAAATAATTTTGAGACACCAAATTATCTCAAATGAAAATTTGATACACATAAAAGTTGTAGAGGTCATGAAGATCTATAACTTTTATTTTGGTCATCTTGTCATTTGACAAAATTTGAACCTTTCAAATTTGAAATTTTAAAAAATGACAAGTTCGAACCAAAATTTGAGACCAAAAATGTTTTCAACATAAAAAGTGATGAATACCAAAGTTGTTCAAATCATTAATATCAACAACTTTTATTTTAGTCATCTTGTCATTTGATAAAATTTGAACATTTCAAATTTGAAATTTTGAAAAACGACAAGTTCGAACCAAAATTTAAGACCCAAATTGATTTCAACATAAAAAATGATGAATACCAAAGTTGTTCAACTCATAAATATCTACAACTTTTATTTTGGTAATTTCTTTATTTAACAAATTCTTAACATACATTGTTCACTAATCTTACACATGTCTCATATAGTTTATAAAACCATACGAGAGATGTGTCACATTAGTGAACAATGTCATTACCACTTTATCATATGAAGAAACGACCAATACAAAAGTTGTAGATCTTGATGAGTTATTCAACTTTGGTATTTATCACTTTTTCGGTTGAAATCATTTGGGGTACCAAAATCTTGTCTGAAGTAACATTTTTTTAAAATTCAAAATTGAAATTGCTCAAACTTTTCATATGTATATATTGACAAAACCAACAAAATAAATTGATAGAGAATGATTTTATAAAATTTTAGGAAAAAAATCATCAGATTTGGAGTTAGTATGAGGAAGAAAAACTAATTACAAAGTTGACCCACAGATTAAAAAAAGAAATCACATTGTTCACTATGATCATGTAAGGATCATCTAGAACAGTGTGATTTTTCTTTTTAATCTGTGGGTAAACTTTGTAATTAGTTATTCTCCCTCATACTAACTCCAAATGTGATGGTTTTTTTTGCTAAAAATTTCTAAAATCATGCTTCAGCATTGAAGTTTGATCAAACTTGGATGTGACAATGTTTTACATATTTTAAAATTTGAAATTTGACAAGTTCAAACCAAAATTTAAAACCCTAAATGATTTCAGATGTAAAAGTGATGAATACAAAAGTTGTTCAACTCATCAAGATCTACAACTTTTATTTTGGTCATCTTGTCATTTGATAAAATTTGAACCTTTCAAATTTGAAATTTAAAAAAATGACATGTTCATACCAAAATTTGAGACTCAAAATGATTTCAACATAAAAAGTGATGAATACCAAAGTTGTTCAAATCATTAATATTTACAACTTTTATTTTAATCATCTTGTCATTTGACAAAATTTGAACCTTTCAAATTTGAAATTTTAAAAAACGACAAGTTCGAACCAAAATTTAAGACCCAAATTGATTTCAACATAAAAAGTGATGAATACCAAAGTTGTTCAACTCATGAATATCTACAACTTATATTTTGGTCATTTCTTCATTTGATAAATTCTTAGCACACATTATTCACTAATTTTACACATGTCTCATATAGTTTATAAAATCATATGAGAGATGTGTCACATTTGTGAACAATGTCATTACCACTTTGTTATATGAAGAAATGACCAATACAAAAGTTGTAGATCTTGATGAGTTGTTCAACTTTGGTATTTATCACTTTTTCAGTTGAAATCATTTGGGGTACCAAAATCTTGTCTAAAGTTGTATTTTTTTGAAATTCAAAATTTAAATTGCTCAAACTTTTCATATGTATATATTGACAAAACCAACAAAATAAATTGATAGAGAATGATTTTTGATAATTTTAGGAAAAAAATCATCAAATTTGGAGTTAGTATGAGGAAGAAAAACTAGTTACAAAGTTGACCCACAGATTAAAAAAAGAAATCACACTGTTCACTATGATCATGTAAGGATCATCTAGAACAGTGTGATTTCTCTTTTTAATCTGTGGGTAAACTTTATAACTAGTTGTTCTCTCTCATACTAACTCAAAATGTGATGGTTTTTTTTCCTAAAAATTTCTAAAATCATGCTTCAGCATTTAAGTTTGATCAAACTTGGATGTGACAATGTTTTATACATTTTAAAATTTGAAATTTGAAATTTGAGAAGTTCAAACTAAATTTTAAAACCCTAAATGATTTTAGATGTAAAAGTGATGAATACAAAAGTTGTTCAGCTCATCAATATCTACAACTTTTATTTTGGTCATCTTATCATTTAACTAAATTTGAACCTTTCAAATTTTGAAATTTTAAAAAAAAAATGGGCACTACAGGGGCGGCTGGTGATTGAGCCGCCCCTACAGATCAACCCCAACTGTAGGGGCGGCTCAGGTTACCAGCCGCCCCTACAGTGCCATCTGTAGGGGCGGCTGGGCTGCTGGGGCCCGAGGACGCCCACTGTAGGGGCGCCCCAACTCCAACCGCCCCTACAGTAAAAATGTTCCTGTTCCTACAGTAAGAATCTGGTGTAGTGGTTACGGTGATGGCGTGAGAAAAACAGAGGGTGCGAGATAATGAGAAAATGGCTCCTGCAGCTTCTTCACCTTGGTGGGGGCTCGGTAGCAGGCTAGGCAACGGCGAGAAAGCGGCAGGCAGTGCCAACGGCGGCGGCGGCTTCCTCTGCTTCCGGCGAGATCCCAAGCGATGCTAGGGCGAAGCTAGGGCTAGCGGCGGCCTGTACAGAGGCGCGTCGGGGTCCACATCTTCTTATAGGAGTGTCTCGGCTTGCGATCCGAGAGAACCGGTATTGGATGCGGTGGATTTCCAACGACGGAGTCCTGCTCCTCCACAGCGCGAGGAAGAAAACGATGAGGGGCTGATCGGCGGGCCCGGGGTGTCGCGGTGAAGGAGCGGGTTTCGGCTGGCAGCGACTGGAGACGTGGGAAGGGAGCGGCTCGGTGGCCTGCTTGGCTAGGGCCGAGTAGGCGGAGCTGGGGGGGCTTCTGCTTCGATCTGCTGCTGCGCATGCAAGTAAATGAGGGAGAAGTGTGCCGCTGCGCTGAGAAGCTGATAGAGAGAGAGTTTAAAAGAAATTCCTTTTCTTCTCTTTTATTTAGAAATCATTTTCAAATCCAAATCAAATAGTTTTGAATTTGCAAGACCAATCATACCATAAACTCATATGCAACAATATGAATGCACAACCAAGTTTCTAAACCCTATGATGAATTTTAATTTAATAAAGTTGTTATTTTTCTTATATTTCATGAGCACAAAAATATATAATTAAATCATTTTTACTATATTTCCAAATGAGCAAAATTTAGGGTGTTACATGCAACGTTCTCTCTACTATGCCGTCTACATTCATCACTTTGAGTATTTTCTTTGGAACAGCCTCCGAAATTATATCAACAAAAGATTTATTACTAGAAACAAACTTAACATATTAATTAAGATTCATGTTGATATTAAAAACAATGAAAAGTGAGATATTAGTTTTCATGCCAATATGATTGATGGCTTCCACAAACTTGGAGTGTAGATGACTAGACCACTCGACCCTTTGCTTTTTCTGGGTTGATTTGTCCTCATCTTTTCAGCACCATCTCCATCTTTTTTGTTCTTCTTCCAATCTTCCTAGTGTGCTTTGCATGATCCTTTTCACCATTCTCATCATCCACATACTGCACCATTTGACAAGGATTATCACTTTCGCCGCTGACTTTGTTCCTTGGATTACTCTTGCTCTTCCTCACCACATGCATCCATATGTTCCTGACCTTTTCAGGGCATACTGGCTTTACCATATAGTCACAAGCTCCATGCTTTATCGCCTTCACCATAGTCTCCATCTCATCATTCGTAGATAGCACTACATGACATGAGGTGAACATAAAAGATTAGTTATGAAATGCACATGTCAATAAGCTTGATAAACTAGACATCAAAGACTTATGTATCCTTCATGTAATTCATTGGACACATTGTTCTCTTTTCATTTTCATTAACTTATTTTTGAAAAAAATGTATGACACACATGTCAAAATGGCATGTTTCAATCATGGTCACATTTTTTCAAATAATTTGATAAGAGAAACTTAACAAATCTATTATGTAATAGTTATTCTCTTGATCAGCAACAGTTTGATGACCAACAGTACCACCTTCAGGGAGATTTCTAGTTGTACCCCCACCATTTGGCATTTGGGTTAGTATGACAAAATTACATGTCTTAAGGTTAGACAATGTAGGTCTAGTGCTTAAAGAACTACCTGTAGCAAAGTTGTTAACTGGCATCACTGTAGAGCTTCTGTTGCTTCCAAAGTTGAATGGTGCTAGGGTTGCCTGCTCATTTACCATTGGTGTTGTTGTCCCAATAACTCCTGCCATTTGGTTCTAATACTCATTTCTAGAAGTTGGAACACTGTGAGAAGAGGCTACTAGTCTTGGCAACTGGTTCATGAAGATGTTGTTTCTTTCCGATGGACCAATAGACATTCCAACATTTTGACCAATTTCATGGAAACTGGATGACACACCAGTTGTCCAAGAGTTGCTAGAGTTTCTAAATCTGGTAAACTAGTGAGGCTCCCTGGCAACTTGGTTGAACATGCCAACAAAAGATGATTGAATCTGAATTGAAGGTTGGTTCATCAACTCAGGTGACTATAATGGTAAAGGACTCGAAGGAGCCACTTGGTCAGTAGACGATGATTGAATTTGAACTGAAGGGTGGTTTGCCAACTCAGGAGACTACAATGGTACATGACAAGCTGACATCTCACCACCTGGTATTTCTTCAAAGAAGTTGTCAGGATCAAATGGAATACCTTTGTTTGACCCCAAAATACTGGCACACAATTTGCTTGCATAGGAGATGCCAGAATGAGATGAAGGAAAGCTCATGCTTGTGCCCAATGGTGATGCTCATTTGAAATGTTTGTAGATGAACATTATATTCTAGTACACTCATGTTGCTATCAACGCCATTCAGCCATGCTTGTACGTTGTTCATCCACAAATGTTGAGTACTTGAGTGTGCCCTCTTTCTAGTTTTTCAAGTACATACGATACTTCTAAAATCACAAGATAGACAAGTACATTTGTTAAGGAAAAAATGACAAACAAAAGCTGAAAATGTTTTGTTGTTTGATTAACTCTTGAAATGTAGGTTTGTGGTTCTCCACACATGCCAAAACTCAACATATGCGTGTATGGCAGTAGAACTATTTATGTGGTGCACACAAAAGTTCCATGAGAATGTTGCAAGCACAAATTCTGGTGACAAACGTAAATATTAAGTTTGAGATGGCAATTGGGCAGGAGCGAGTGTTATACAAATATATTTAATAATAAGATAGTGGATAAGAACTCAAACATAGGAATCAAGCATAAGAGTATAAACAAAACCTGCAGATGACTTGCAACGTTCTGTCTACTAATACCGTCCACATTCATCGCTTCGAATATTTTCTTCGGAACAGCCTCTAAAATTATATCAACAAAAGATTTATTACTCGAAACAAACTTAACATATTAATTAAGCTTCATGTTGATAGAAAAATAATGAAAAGTAAGATCTTACTATCCATGCCAATGTGATTGATGGCATCCACAATCTTGGAGTGTAGCTGACTAGACCACTCGACCCTTTACTTTTTCTGGGTTGATATGTCCTCATCCTTTTCAGCACCATCTCCATCTTTTTTGTTCTTCTTCCAATGCTTCTTGGTGTGCTTTGCATCATCCTTTTCACCATTCTCATCATCCACAGATTGCACCATTTGACTAGGATTATCATTTCTGCTATTGACTTTATTCCTTGGATTACTCTTGCTCTTCCTCACCACATGCATCCATATGTTCCTGACCATTTCAGGGCACACTAGCTTTACCCTATAATCACAAGCTCCATTCTTTATCGCCGTCACCATAGTCTCCATCTCATCATTCGTAGATAGCACCACATGACATGAGGTGAACATAAAATATTAGTTATGAAATGCACATGTCAATATGCTTGGTAGAGTAGACACCAAATACTTATGTATCCTTGGTGTTATTCATGTGACACATTGTCCTCTTATCATTTGATAAGAGAAACTTGACAAATCTATTATGCAATAGTTATTCCCCTCATCCTCATCATGTAATCAAAATTACCTGTTACAAACCAACAGAGTAATGAGTGGAGCTATAAACCAAAATGTGTAACATACATAAGTATGGAATGATAAAACTCAGTAGAATTTATGAAATAACTGTAGTGTATGACAAGTACAACCAAAAAATTAAGTAGATAGCTCAAGAAATAGGGAGTTCATTGTTGTTCTCTTGATCACCAACAGCTTGCTGACAAACCATGCCAGCTTTTGGGAGATTGCCAATTACATCACCACCATTTGGCATCTAGGTCGACATGACAGAATTGCATATGTTAAGGTTGGACAGATTAGTTTTGATGCTTGAAGAACTACCAAGAGCAGAGTTGCCAGTTGGCATCATGGTAGAGCTTATGTTGCTTCCAAAGTTGAATGGTGCCACTATTGTCTGCTCACTTAAACTTAACATTGGTGCGGTTGTCCCCTGAAGTCTGTTAGAATGAGGCCAACCAACTTCTATTGAAAGGCCCAAATGGGCAATATATAGGTTTGTACATATATGCAAAGAAGCCCTCCAAGTAGAGGGAAAATAGAAATACATCTATACATCTAACACTCCCCCTCAAACTCATGGTGTTTCTACAACATTGAGTGCCATCAGCGGTTTGAACAAAAATGAGTGGATTGGGAGAAGACATAGAGGACAAGTGGGTCAAATCGGGTGCCATATGAAAAGAGGCACCAGAGTCAAGGAACCATGGGGATGATATACATAATGGAGGAGGAGGAGGAGTAGAACTAGAAGCCTGAGTAGTAGTCCCATGAGCGAAGGTCTGAGCTGCAATAGTAAGGCGACGAAACAGGGCGAGAACATCCTGTTCCACTGTGGACATAGAATGAGTGCCCTGCTAAGTAGAGGAAACCAGAGCCAAGAGAGTAGCACCTACCATGACGCCCTAGTTGATTGCGCTGCTTCTTGCAACAATCCTTATCATGGCCATAGAGCTTGCAATAGCCACACTGAACACCTGAAGGTGCCCCTATCACCATAGGGGAGGGCTAGGACAGAGGCAGGGAGACCTGGGGAGGTGTGGCCACTAGGATAGACTACAGCAGGACATGACTCACACCCCCAGCTTGAAGACGTGTCTCCTCGGCTCGTAGCTCATGCATCACCTCTGAGAGCGATCACTACTACATAAAGATAATCACTATCGGTTCTACAACCCCCTTTACCGATGGTTTTGGCCTCCGTTGGAGTAAGTCAACGATGATAGTCAGACTTATCACCGTCGGTTGCTCACCGACGGAGGTATTATTCATCGCTGCCGGATCAGCGTATGATCCGACGGTGCTGGCATTTTCTTCACTGCTGCGTTAGATCACGGTCCGGCGGCACTTGGTCATGTACAACCATCGGTGTTACGGATGATTCGGCGGTGATGACATGGACACCAACATTGGTTTGGCATGCCACCCGGCAAAGATGACCGAGGCATCATCGTCGGCCGGTGTTATTATTCGGCGCTGATGTAGTTAGGAGCAATTCGGTCGCCCGTTCGATCCGGCGGTGTTGATGTGGACAACAATGTCGGTTCGGCGTACCACCCGACGAAGATGACCAAGGCATCACCGTCGGTTGGTGTTATGATCTGACACTGATGTCCTTAGGAGCACAGCCGATCGCCCATTCGATCCAACGGTGTTGATGGCGGTACCAATACCGGTCTGGCGTACTATGCGGCGGTGAAGCCCTCTCCATCACCACCGTGCTATGCAGCGGTGTTGTTACTATCATCACCACTAGTTGATTCCATATCACCAACGATTTTGACAGGTTCACTGGTACTGCATTTTCTAGAATAAATTGTAATAATAATAGAAATATTATTTCGATTATACTAGACCCCAGGTCGTATACATATATACATCACTACCAAGACAGCTCCATAAAACACATCCATCCACAAGAATGACACAGTTCCACCATAAAACACATACGACATTGGTCTCCATCAAGATTCACAACTAGGTCCATAATGAAACTGCCAAGGTGTTCTTGCAACCCAAGTGTAGTCAGTCAACACCGTTGTACCTTGACTAGAGTTTATGCAGCACAAGAAACACAATTAAGACATGCATTTGCTATAGACTCAAAATTAGGTCGGTGAATTGACTAAGGGGGGACAAGATAAGAGCCAGAGTAGCCATATGTATCTTGGATGAGGGTGGTAATGTAATGCAAGACATACCATATTAATCCAGCACCCAAGTGCTGTGTTGCGATCAAATAGGCATCCTATACATGCATAGTGAAGAAAAAATTCTAAAGCGGTCGATATTGCTTTGCTCTTTTTGTTGTAATTCTCAAAGGCCCTGTGTGACAAGCTCATCATGAGAGTGACATATAATGATCAGAGCTAATAATAATCTAACATTTGGCCCAAAATGGGATAGTAGTAGCTACCTAGCTTGTCTTACTTGTTCAGCGTGACAAATGTTGGATATTAGTCTCATGGTATCCTTGGAGAGCCAAAAACATTGAGAGTGCATTCCTATAACATGATGTCAAAATGGACATATATAATGGTTCCTGCATTAACAATGTCCCATGGAAAATAGCTGGGCTGAACCACTCAACATGTAATGTGTACTACAAAATGAGGCATTTGCAAAAAATTTACATGGCATTTTGTTGGCTACAAGTATGGAGGATTTCTGACTTGTTAAACAGCAAACCCTTTGTCAATTCATCAAAAACAACAATCACTAACCCGGTTTAAGAACCCCGTCTCAACCTGCATTTGAGTACGTTGAACCTACAAAACAATTAAATGTGTAGCTAGACACATTCACCTTGATGTTCACATAAATGCATTTATATATACTAAGAAACTAAAATGGTCGATCCATCACCTGATATTCCTGCCAAGGGCGAACTTTTTGTAAAATTGTTACAACTTCTACTCGATCCATGACACCAATTGCCTCCACGGGTTATCTGACATTGTGTTCACATGGGCGCTTGCACAACACTCAGGCTATAAGATTATTCCTAGAAACAGCTGCTACGGATATGCACATGGATTACCATCCTTGTCATTTGACTCCAGGTTGAGTGTGATGATTCCAGCAAAACCATCAGCCACTGCTACTTCATTCGCACTGTATATTGTCCCCTAATTCGGTAGAATAAGTCCTAACAAAAAACAATGTGCACAGGGTCAACATGTTCCGTGTATGAACTCTCTCTGTTGACGAACAAGCTAAGTACTACAACGGACCATATATACAGTTTTAGAATACACCACCTACGTGTATTGAAGTTTTTAACCCAAAATTAACAACAATTAGAGAACATCCACAACATTCGAAAGGGAAATTAAAATAAAATCCATAATTCCAAAACTAATTAATTTTGATTTCATCAGAGGTACAGTGCAGGACGGCGGGTGGGTAGCCGGACGTGACCGCCATGAGGTCACGCCAATGGATGGGAGGACCCCCAGCGAGAGGTGAGGTCGATGCCCCGTGGCCTCATGTTCTAGATGCTCTTGTCCACTGCTCACCATCGAGCTACCCCTCCACCCCACCCGCTCTCCGCCATCCCTCATGCTCATAGCACCATTCGCCGAAGGCCCTTCCACGGCAAATGGGAGGACCCTCAGAGAGAGAAGAGGTCAACGCCCCACGCCCTCAGGTTCTAGATCCTCCTGTCCACCGCTCGTCGTCGAGTTGCCCCTCCACCCCGCCCGCTCTCCACCATCCCTTGCGCTCGTAGCATAGATCACTAAAGGCCCTTGTGCCAACAGATGGGAGGACCCCCAGCGAGAGCCGAGGTTGATGCCCCACAGCCTTAGGGGTAGCTCGACGGCGAGCGAGGACGGGAGCATCTCAAACCTAAGGAGAGCATTTCACCTGAGGGTAGGATGGGGAAAGGAAATTTTGGGGGAGGCATTTCCCCACCCACCCGAGCGCTATTTTATACCTGCTGAATATCACCGCCAGTGCATCAGAGTAGCCGGCATAGATAGTTTATCATCACCACCATTTCATAGCTGCTCGACGATGTTATTTCATTTCCATGGTTGCCTGCTCGATGATGTTATTTCATTTACATGGCCGCCGAATGCGGACATATAATTGCATCAAGAACCGTATGATCCAGTGAAGACGATAGACATGGAAGAGCATACACCACAGCATAGACGCGGTGCCAGGTCTGTTTTGATGTTGGGGCATGAGCAAAGACAAAAATGTCCTTCCAGTTTGCAACGGTACAATACAACGGTAAAATCGGTTGTTGGCTGTTATTCTATAATAGTCATGGCTTTCTTCCCCCTTTGTGCTAGGGTATCTTGCCCCTAACGCCAAGCACTGCTCTTGTCCCCCTGCTCCTCTCCTCTTTGTTCCCCTACTTCTGGCAACACCATGTCTCGTCGGATGGATTGCTCGTCATCACAGAGCTGACATCCTCGGAGGCCACCGTATGCAGAAGAAGACGATGTTGGGGAAGAGATGGGCCTCCCTCTAATTATTTGCGACAAGTGTAGGATGGAGAGGGTGATTGAGCTTCAGTCAAAGACTAACACTAATCCAGGTTGTATGTTCTTCAAATGCCCAAGGAACAATCCTTGGGTAAGCATCTGCTCATATCTTGTTTTGGTTGGATGCAGTCACAGATTAGATCTAGTTTTTTTAGTGCATCTATTTTTTTTGTTTCCCTTGATTTTGTATAGGTCTGACCGATATGCAAGTTTTATGAATGGCAATGAGACTATATAATTGTTTCCCTTGATTTTGTATAGGTCTGACCGATATGCAAGTTTTATGAATGGCAA